TCTCGACATTAGTTTTAGATTGTATTATAACCTTTGGATAAAATTCCTTTATAGTTTACTTTTCACGGATTGCATCAAATCCTTCTAGTACTTCTACACATACTGTAAAGTTTACCTCTATACAATTTCATATTAGCTGAAAATGCCTACAAATTTTCGGACTACCCGATTTTAATCCATAACATGTAGCATCCATTCCTACAAAGGAATTAGTTCAGGAGAACATAAATTGTATACCAATTTGTAATATTGTCCTTAGTTTTCTTGGGTGTTAAATAACAAATACTTTCAATTCACCATTTTGACACTAAAATAAAACTAACTGTAGTTTTATTATATGTAGATGAGTTAAAAATTATTTGGAGATGGAGGGAGCCACTGTACAGGCAAACACTTCTACAGTTAGGGAAATGTGAAAAAAGTTGCATAATTATTTTGGTCACCTCACCACCAAGTGACCAATCAGTCATTGCCATAAGTTTTGAAATGTACATGGAGAAGCACTACTCAAGTCTGATATTGGACATACCATGTAGTTGACCTACTTGTGACACCTCATATGTGCAAACTGAATTATAAACATAAATTAATTATTAATTTTGAATAATGAAAATTTGAAAGAGTTTTCAACTTGTTAACTAAATATTTTCCAAAACTCATTTTCAGTCAGGTCAGGTTCGGAGTAATGGTGTGTTAAGATCTGGATAGAACATTTTGAAGAGTTGGCGCTAAACTCCGTCTGAAGACATCTTAAGTATCCTTAAGGGAAACACCATCCATCGAAAAGTGTCTTGGTATTAAAACTCAGGTGTGTATGACATTTTGTACCCCTATAACATGAACTGCAGTTCTGACATAGGCCAAACGAAGAGCCATCAGACCAGTGAATCAATGACCACTGGACATGTATATGATGAAATTCAATCCAGTGATTGGTTCCTGCAATCAATGAATTCAATTTCACCGTAAGCAGGTCCTCTACTGAACATCACTTATACTCAAGAGTTGTACTTGAAGCAACTGAAACAGTTCTCTATTAAAAAGACAACAGACAACAAAAAGACAGACTTTACAAACATACATGAAACAGACACAAAGAACACCCAGACTCAGAACAATGTGGGGATCGGACCCACAGCACTTAGCCTAGTGCAGTTCATGATAACAATCCAATGATAAAACAATAAAGAATCTTGTATACCGTATCTAGTAATAGAAAAAGCCTTAAGACCATTGTTGTGATAACATATTTAGTTTTGAGCTTGGGTTTTGGGGCTATCATCATCTTTCTTACCCATATTTAATATTATTGTTTTATTGGGATTGTGATTAAATACATTAGAATTTTGTCAACCAAGAAAAATTTTGAGACCGGTGGTAGGCACTATAAAGGCTTTGGCCCACGGGAGAAAGAACTTAGTAAGTACATCTTTTTTACCTCTACTACAATGTCTACTGATGACCACAGAATACTAGCCCTACCAAACCCTATCTGGGTTTGGAAGGGGTAAGATTGTAGTCATCGGAATCAGAAGTCTATAAGATTGGATTCAAGATTTCAAGATTGTAAAGCCTTTGACAATGTGTAATCCTGCAACAGATTACACGGATAGCAATTTGAGTAACGTGTCTATCAGACTCAGTAGACGAACTTGTTCTAGAAGAGACACATAGTAGTTTAAGAGAAAGGTATAAACAGCAGTCAATCTTTTTTTTGATGATATAAAAATAGGGGGGTTTTGGGCTTCGGTTTTTTATCCGGTTGAACCAGCCCATTTCTGCTGAACCATGGCCCTCCAATGGTAATTAAATAGAAATCATTTCGTTATAACTAATTATGTAAAATTGTTTACATTTCAGATATATCCAACTCCTCTAATTAAGAATCAGACAATTCTAGCTACCACAGATCGAATTAACGGATCATCCGCCGTACAGCCCTGACTTGGCCCCAAAGATTTTATTCCCAACCGTGAAGAACAAATTTGAGGTCAATGTTTTGAGCCTGTTGTTTTAGCTTAGAACATCTTTCACAGGAACCGTCTCAAGAATGTCACAGAATTCGAGAGCATGTGTAACTCAATGTGGAGTCTGAATAGGGTTTCTCCTAATAGACGATAGCGATTGGCCCGCGCTGAACACTTTACTAATCACATCGCCGAACGCGGCCACCGTGACGATCGAGAATACGCTCTAGGTGAAAAGCTAAGCAAGAGCACAGGAGTTCCACTAGATTCCCATATAACTCAACGTTAATAGGTATTGGTTGTGGGCTTCGGTTTCCGCATTTAGACTCAAGAGTGGTTCTTTATGCATAGAGGATTGGTTAGATAGGTGAGCCAAACAAGCTCCTTCCAGAAGCGCAGAAGTCTTCTGGGTTTACAGGCTTCTAGGAGCGATCTTGACTCAGGAATGATAACGTTAATAGGTAGAACTGATTAACAGTATTTTCACAATATTATGTATACAAAATGTCATACGGAGCTGTATAAATATTGTTTTCTTTAGCAAGTTTTATTTATTCGCTGAGGACCCAATAAACTTTGTTGTTACTTGACTTAGAATAGGCTGTATTAGATGACAATTTTTCTTTAATAAAATTAATATTTTAATACTGTGTATTATTTTTTATTACCCCTATAGCTATCTAGACAATGAAGTGTAGATTCTTAACTATAATACCTACCGATAACACTTAACGAGACAGTTTTTTGGTGAAACCAGGTAGTTCATGAATTTTAATAACCAGTCTACTGATAAAAATACTCTAAATATAAACATATATTACACACAATACAGGAACAATTTATTGTTCTTTTTACAATCTTTGTCCTAGGATAGGTGGAAATAGAACCTACTACCTTAGGTTCAGCAGCCATTATCACTAACCACTAAACCACAATACTGTCAGATGATCTGTAGATACTGTTCTTATCAAGTTTTTTTTTTTTAATTTTGAATTCTGTCTGGCATGAGAACTGGGTTCTCTAGAAATTTTCCATCATTGGCCACTGTTGAGTAAGATAGATAATAAAAAAAAACATTTATTTAGTCTGCTTGATAGAGTAAGTAAAACACTATGGTAATTAAATAATTTAATATCTTATTAGGTATTTCATGAGAGCTTTCACCACTTCACTTATCAATTGTATATACATTGACTGCAGTTTTATACAAAATGTTAAATATCAAAAGATAATTATGATGAGAATACTACACCAACTAATTAATGTATTTTGAACGCTGACAATCCTCAGAGAGCGGGGCTCCCCCATTGTCCGTACACCTCGCCCGGCCTGCCTGCAGTGCTTTGCTTACAACTTACACTAGCGCGTTCCTGAACTCTGCATTCACTTCGCAAAAATTGTGTAGAAAAAGACAATGTCGATTCTTGTTGGTGCATATATTGCTTTAAAAATGTTTGGTTGGCTATTCCTGACCTAAGTAATGTTTTTTTAAAGAATCTAGATACTTCACCAAGGTAATGAGAAGAGAATTGCTATTAACAAAAATTCAAATCTGGTCAAATCATCACTAACCATTCTACTTTCTAATTGCTGAAACAATATTATATACCCTAATATAAATACATTCAATAATATATTTTGGTGGGTGTTGAAATCGTTATAATAGTAACAACCTCACACATCCCACACAGGGCAGTCTGATCCCAAACTAGGCAGAGCCTGTACTATTGTAACCAGACTGCTGCTAAACATACTTAAATATTTCTAAATACATACAAATTTTACACAAAAACACCCAGATACAGAACAAATCGTGCTCATTACACAAATATTTGTCCTGGGTGGGAATCGATACCACGACCTCCGAATGGGTCACTAACTACTAGACCGACAGGCATGCTAGAAAGAGATTGAATGTTTTTAACGAAACTTGTATATTGTTACATAACATAACATACTTTTCTAAACACAAAAAACTTAAAAATGAAAAATTAGAGATTCAAAGACAACTCTAGAAGAGTTTTCACTTTGCTCCATAGATGGAGTGGTGCTGAATAGCTAACAACACTATATCTTGTATGATTCTTAAGAGTAAATAAATTCTTGTATGATACATTTTGTGTTGTGTCTGTTTCATTGGAGAATTAGTATTCGAATCACGCAAATTTAAAAAACATGATAATTTTTTGATGATATAAACAAACGGAGCAAACGAACGTGAGGGTCGCCTGATGGAAAGCGGTTACCGCTCATGAACCCCAAAACTTAGAAGTCACATGTAATAATTCTAACTAATCGTGTACACTATGCAAAAATTGGTAAGTGATGTTTTTTACAAAATATTGTACATAAATTTCCATGTACGTGGGATACTCCCAGTGCGGTATGAGTCTTTGTACACTTCGATCATTAACAGTGTACGACTTTGACTCACACAGCTAGTCCTAGAGCAAATAATAACCTCATACACGGCCGTCTGATCTCAAACTAGGCAAAGCCTGTATTATGGTACTTAAATATGTATGTAATATATTGTACATTAATATTAGACCCAGACAAAACAAATGATCGTACTCCTCGCACAATTATTTGTTCTGGGTGGGAATCGAACCCACGACCTCCGGCCTGAGTAGTCCGGGTCAGTAATAACAAGATTAATGCGGTCGTATTAACGAGGGTAGGGGACAGCCCGATTAGAGGACGATCTTATAAAGGGCGACAACTTTACATATATAGTTATTAGCGCGAGAATTTTTATTGCGCGATATAGGATCAGCGTTCGTTACGTAGGTTGACGTTAGTATGATTACTGTATTCGGATGTAGTTATAAACTATTTTATATAAATTCTTTAAGCATATCGAATGTTTTGTAAAAAAATAATAATATAGTTAATATTAGCTTCCATCATTACGTAACACTTAGAAAACCACAACACTGTTCTTAGTTGTAGTCGTTTTACTGCGTCTACGCATGTGCTCCGGGGGAGTAGAGACGAGGGTGAAGCGTGGTAGTGGGGGGGGGGGGGGGGGCTCTACACGAAGTAGGCTGCGAGCTGCGCCATCTTGTCCTTGGGCTGCTTGTTGCGGTGGCTGGGCTTGCGCGCGCGGCCCCCGCGGCCTCGCGCCGGCGTCGCGCGGGACACCACGGCGCGGTGCTTCTCCACCTGCGCGACATTTACTATTTTGTGATCACTCTGAAATATAAACCTGGCAAGCTCAACGTCACCGTTTACTCGTAAGTCTTCGTCACAGTGCACACCGCAAGCGGTGTAATACAGAGTGGTATGGTATGGTACCAGACATAGATCAAAAACATAGTGACCTGTGAATGAACGGTGATTTATCATTCGATTTTTTCGTACGTAGGTTAGTTACTGATCACTCACGTTGTTGCCTGTTTTCAGACGATGCATATAGTGCCTATTTGTCTATTTAATAGTAAATCTAGTAATAATTTTATTATATATAGCTAAAGTTTCCTACATAAATAAATTAAAAAGATACTAGATTTACTGTTAAATAGCGTCTCACTTAGCTAGCAATCTACGTACGCAAAAATGGAATGATAAATGACAGTTTCACTGTGATTTAGTCCAATGTGTATAGAGTAGGGCGGTAGGGTAGGGTACGCACGAGCGCGCTGAAGGCCGGCTCGCAGTAGAGGCAGGCGGTCATGTCGGTGATGGCGGCGGGCAGGCGCGTGCGCTCGGCGCGGTACTCCACCGACACCTGTATAGAGTAGGGCGGTAGGGTAGGGTACGCACGAGCGCGCTGAAGGCCGGCTCGCAGTAGAGGCAGGCGGTCATGTCGGTGATGGCGGCGGGCAGGCGCGTGCGCTCGGCGCGGTACTCCACCGACACCTGTATAGAGTAGGGCGGTAGGGTAGGGTACGCACGAGCGCGCTGAAGGCCGGCTCGCAGTAGAGGCAGGCGGTCATGTCGGTGATGGCGGCGGGCAGGCGCGTGCGCTCGGCGCGGTACTCCACCGACACCTGTATAGAGTAGGGCGGTAGGGTAGGGTACGCACGAGCGCGCTGAAGGCCGGCTCGCAGTAGAGGCAGGCGGTCATGTCGGTGATGGCGGCGGGCAGGCGCGTGCGCTCGGCGCGGTAACTCCACCGACACCTGTATAGAGTAGGGCGGTAGGGTAGGGTACGCACGAGCGCGCTGAAGGCCGGCTCGCAGTAGAGGCAGGCGGTCATGTCGGTGATGGCGGCGGGCAGGCGCGTGCGCTCGGCGCGGTACTCCACCGACACCTGTATAGAGTAGGGCGGTAGGGTAGGGTACGCACGAGCGCGCTGAAGGCCGGCTCGCAGTAGAGGCAGGCGGTCATGTCGGTGATGGCGGCGGGCAGGCGCGTGCGCTCGGCGCGGTACTCCACCGACACCTGTATAGAGTAGGGGCGGTAGGGTAGGGTACGCACGAGCGCGCTGAAGGCCGGCTCGCAGTAGAGGCAGGCGGTCATGTCGGTGATGGCGGCGGCAGGCGCGTGCGCTCGGCGCGGTACTCCACCGACACCTGTATAGAGTAGGGCGGTAGGGTAGGGTACGCACGAGCGCGCTGAAGGCCGGCTCGCAGTAGAGACAGGCGGTCCTGTCGGTGATGGCGGCGGGCAGGGCGCGTGCGCCTCAGGCGCGGGTACTCCACCGACACCTGTATAGAGTAGGGGCGGGTAGGGTAGGGTACGCACGAGCGCGCCTGAAGGCCGGCTCGCAGTAGAGGCAGCGGTCATGTCGGTGATGGCGGCGGGCAGGCGCGTGCGCTCGGCGCGGTACTCCACCCGACACCTGTATAGTAGTAGGGCGGTAGGGTAGGGTAACGCACGAGCGCGCTGAAGGCCGGCTCGCAGTAGAGGCAGGCGGTCATGTCGGTGGATGGCGGCGTGCAGGCGCGTGCGCTCGGCGCGGTACTCCACCGACACCTTTATAGAGTAGGGCGTAGGGTAGGGTACGCACGATGCGCGCTGAAGGCCGGCTCGCAGTAGAGGCAGGCGGTCATGTCGGTGATGGCGGCGGGGCAGGCGCGTGCGCTCGCGCGGTACTCCACCGACACCTGTATAGAGTAGGGCGGTAGGGTAAGGGTACGCACGAGCGCGCTGAAGCCGGCTCGCAGTAGAGGCAGGCGGTCATGTCGGTGATGGCGGGCGGGCAGGCGCGTGCGCTCGGCGCGGTACTCCACCGACACCTGTATAGAGTAGGGCGTAGGGTAGGGTACGCACGAGCGCGCTGAAGGCCGGCTCGCAGTAGAGGCAGGCGGTCATGTCGGTGATGGCGGCGGGCAGGCGCGTGCGCTCGGGCGCGGTACTCCACCGACACCTGTATAGAGTAGGGCGGTAGGGTAGGGTACGCACGAGCGCGCTGAAGGCCGGCTCGCAGTAGAGGCAGGCGGTCATGTCGGTGATGGCGGCGGGCAGGCGCGTGCGCTCGGCGCGGGTACTCCACCGACACCTGTATAGAGTAGGGCGGTAGGGTAGGGTACGCACGAGCGCGCTGAAGGCCGGCTCGCAGTAGAGGCAGGCGGTCATGTCGGTGATGGCGGCGGGCAGGCGCGTGCGCTCGGCGCGGTACTCCACCGACACCTGTATAGAGTAGGGCGGTAGGGTAAGGGTACGCACGAGCGCGCTGAAGGCCGGCTCGCAGTAGAGGCAGGCGGTCATGTCGGGTGATGGCGGCGGGCAGGCGCGTGCGCTCGGGCGCGGTAACTCCACCGACACCTGTATAGAGTAGGGCGGTAGGGTAGGGTACGCACGAGCGCGCTGAAGGCCGGCTCGCAGTAGAGGCAGGCGGTCATGTCGGTGATGGCGGCGGGCAGGCGCGTGCGCTCGGCGCGGTACTCCACCGACAGCCTGTATAGAGTAGGGCGGTAGGGTAGGGTACGCACGAGCGCGCTGAAGGCCGGCTCGCAGTAGAGGCAGGCGGTCATGTCGGTGATGGCGGCGGGCAGGCGCGTGCGCTCGGCGCGGTACTCCACCGACACCTGTATAGAGTAAGGGCGGTAGGGTAGGGTACGCACGAGCGCGCTGAAGGCCGGCTCGCAGTAGAGGCAGGCGGTCATGTCGGTGATGGCGGCGGGCAGGCGCGTGCGCTCGGCGCGGTACTCCACCGACACCTGTATAGAGTAGGGCGGTAGGGTAGGGTACGCACGAGCGCGCTGAAGGCCGGCTCGCAGTAGAGGCAGGCGGTCATGTCGGTGATGGCGGCGGGCAGGGCGCGTGCGCTCGGCGCGGTACTCCACCGACACCTGTATAGAGTAGGGCGGTAGGGTAGGGTACGCACGAGCGCGCTGAAGGCCGGCTCGCAGTAGAGGCAGGCGGTCATGTCGGTGATGGCGGCGGGCAGGCGCGTGCGCTCGGCGCGGTACTCCACCGACACCTGTATAGAGTAGGGCGGTAGGGTAGGGTACGCACGAGCGCGCTGAAGGCCGGCTCGCAGTAGAGGCAGGCGGTCATGTCGGTGATGGCGGCGGGCAGGCCGGTGGGGACTCAAAAGGGGGGTAGGGCGCAGACCCTGAAGGGGCTGAGGGAGAGGCAGCGGGTCGGTGAGCGGGGCCGCGTGGCTTGGGGGTACTCCCGACGGGAGGCGGTAGGGGGGTACCACGACGCGTGAAGGCCGGGCTCGGCAGTAGGGGGGGGGGGGGCCCAAAAGGGGGGGGTCCCCTGGGGCGGTGCATGGTCGGGGGCAGGCGCGTGCGCTCGGCGCGGTACTCCCCCAACCGACCACCTGGGAAGGGAGGGGGGGAGGTGGGTCCCCGGCGGTGAGGCCCGGGTGCAGGGGCGGCGGTACGGTGAGGGGGGGAGGGTGGGCCCGGGGCGGAACCCCCCCTTTTGGGGGCAGGGTAGGGTGAGGCGCGGAGGCCGGCTCGGGGGACACGCACGGGGATGGGGGCGGGAGGGGGGTCGCCGGGGCGTAAACCCCCCCCCCGTAAGAGGGCGTGGGGGGCGCCCGGGGCGCTGGCCGGCCGAAACCGGCATCTGGGGGCGGGGGGGGCCCCGGCGCGGCTAGCCCGTTGAGTAGGGGGAGGGGCGGGGGGGCGAAAGGGCCCGGGCCCCCCTAACGGGGGTATGTGGGAGGGGGGGGGCCGGGGGGCTGGCGCGGTTCCCCCCATTGGAGGCGGGGAGGGCGCCGGCGCGTAACCCCCCCCGTAGAGGAGGCGGGTTTGGTGGGCGGGGGGGGCGCGGGCCCCCCGCGGTAACCCCCCACCTGTTGGGGGGCGGGAGGGGGGTCCCCCCGGCCCACCGGCCCGATAGGGAGGGGGTGGGGCGGGGAGGCTCGCTGGCGGTCCCCCCGCCCTGTTGGGGGGGTGGGGGCGCCTACCCCCCCGGTAAAAGGGGGGGGGTATTGGTGAGGCGGCGGAGGCGCGTGCGTTTGGGGGGGCTCCCCCGGCCCGGGGGGGGGTATGGGACGCACAGGGTAAGGGGGCGTAGGGGGGCGGCATTTGGGGGGGGGGGCCGCGTGGGCCCGGCGGTTCCCCCGCCCTGATGGGGGCGGTGGGGGGGTACCCCCCCCTGAACCCTGGTTTTGGGGGGGGTGGGATGGGGGGGTGGGGGGCCCGGGGCGGTTTCCCCCGAACCCCGGGGGGGGGTGGGGGGTTTTTCCCCGGCCCTGAAGGGGCTGGGTGGGCACGGCGGGATCGGCCGGGGGCGCCGGCGCGGGATCCCCGCCCGGGTTGGGGGGGGAAACCAAAGGGGAAGGGGGGAAAGGGGGGGGGGCCTAGGCGGCGGCAGGGCCCTGCGCCGGCGCGGCTCCCCCGACACCGATTTGGTAGGGGGGGGTAGGGTAGAGGCGCGCGAAGGCCGCCCAGAAGGGGCGCATGTCGGGATGGCGGGGGGAGCGCGGGGGCGCGGTACTCCCCGCACCTGTAAGAGAGGGCGGAGGTAGGGTACCAGAGCGCGCTGAAGGCCGGGGGGGCGGGCATGGGTGGGCGGGGGGCGGCGCGGCGCTCGGGGCGGACTCCCCGCACCTTTATAGAGGGGCGGTAGGGTAGGGGTACGCCGAGCCGGAAGGGCCCGGGTCGCAAAGGCGGGGTCAGTCGGGGGGGCGGGCAGGCGCGTGCCTGGGGGTTCCCCCACCTTTTTTGGGGGGTAGGGTAGGGGCCCGGCCGCTGAAAGGGCCCCTCCTTTAAAGGGGCGGTCAGTGGGTTTTGGGGGGGGGCGGGGGGCGCTGGCGGCCCCCGACACCTGTATAAATAGGGGGGTGGGGGGTTTGGGGCCCAAAGGCCGGGGGGGCCCCCCGGGAAGGCGGGGGGGGGGCCGGGGGAGGCGCGTGCCCGGCGGGTTCCCCCACCCTTAAGGGGGGGTAGGGGAGGGACCCGGCGGCTGAAAGGCGGTCGCGTAAAAAAGGGGGGGCAGCGGTGGGGGGGGGGCCCCCCGGGGGGGGTTTTCCCCCACCCCGGGGGGGGGGGTGAAAGGGGCGGGCCCGGTGGAGGGGCCGCGGGGGGCGGCCGGCAGCCGTGGTGGCGGGTTCCACCGCCCTGAAGGGGGGGGGGGGTCCCCGGGGGCCCGGGGCTGGGCCGGCGGTCAGCCCTGAGGGGCGGGAGGGGTGGGTCGGGCCGGCCCCTAAAGAAATTGGGGGAGCGGGGCCGGGGGGCCGGGGCCCCCCCCGCGGGTCGGGGGGGGCCCCTCGCCCCGCACCGGGAAATTTTTTGGGTTTGGGCCCCAAAAACCCCCTAAAACCCCCCTTTTTTTTTTTTGCAAAAAGGGGGGGTTTTTAAAGGGAAAAAATTTGTATGAAGAAAAAAAACCCCGCCCTTTTTAATTTTTTGAAAAAACCGGTTTTGGGGGGGTTCCCAATTTGTTAATGGGGGGTCCCGGGCGAGGGGGGAAAGGGGGGGGCCCGGGCCCGGGGACCCCACTGGGGGAGTGGGGGGCCCCCCCACGGGGTTTTTTTTGGGGGGGACGGGCCCCCCCGGGTTCCCCCTTTTTCCCCCGGGGGGGGGGGCCCCCCCCTTTTTTTAAATTTAAATTGGGGAAAAAAAAATTTTTTTTTTTTTATTTTCCCAAATTTTTAAAAAATTTAAAAAAAAATTTTTAAAAAAAAAAATTTTTGGATTGCCAAAAAGGTTTTTTTCCAAATTTTTGAAAATTTTGTTTTAAAATTCGAAGGGGTTGAAGGGGAATTTTTTTTAAAAATGGGTAAAAGGGGCGGGCGGATGGGGTGTGCGCCGGGCGGGTCCCCGGGTACTCCACCGCCCTGCGGCGCGCCGCACGCGCCGACGCCTGCTCGCCACCGACACCGCTTTTGGCGTCTTGAATATTTGATTATCAGTCGCACCTGCACACGACACCCCCGGTAAATGTGCAAAACCTATTTATTTATTATAATCATTTAAATTTGTTATTCAAAAAGTTTTTTAATAAAAAAGAACAAACGTTTTATAAAAACGAAAAAAAAGTACAATATTGCTCAGATAGCAGAACGTCGTGGATATATCTATTGCATGAAAAAACATATACGTTTAACGGGAGGTTTCTGTTAGATTAGATATGATATGGCGGTCGAATTTTGATAGAGAGGCTAGGCTGCCATCACCTGAATGGGGTACCACCGGTTGCGGGCCCCTTTCCATTTGGGGCGCGGGGGTTTTCGAGCACGAGCACGCCCGCCTCGCACCCCACGCACCCACACGCCCGTCGAGTTCAGCCGTCCCGGGCCCGGGGGTGCGTGCACGATTTTTGCCCCGAAAAACCTTTTTTCAATCCCTGAAACTTTAATAATAATTTAGGTAATTACTAAATAACAAAAATATTATCTTGATACCCTGTAGCGATTTCCCGCATTAGACTTAGACTTCATTAGAATTTTATCTCAAGGTCAAAATAAATAAGTTTTGGGGTTTGTTTTTTTTCAGGGGTTTATCAAAGTATAGAGTGTGAGCAGAGGGTTTTCAGCTTTTATGACAGGGGGCCCCTCGGGCAATTTATGAATGATGGCGGGCCGCCAGAAGTTGGGTAAATTTAAAGACAATAAAAAATTTATAAATATTTTTAAAATTTAAAAAAAATTTATTTAAATTTTAAGCGTGGGGATTGCCAGTGCTTACAATCTTTTTTAATTTTTGCCAAATTTTCTTGTAGCAACCGTAAAAAATTTTTTCCAAACTTTCATTTGCAAAGGGGGGTTTTGATTTTTTGTTTTATTATTTTTTATTTGAAAAAGGGTTTTTTTCCATATATTTTAGAACCAAATAAACTGGCACTTTCAGAGCTTTTGGGGAACTCTTTTTACGTTTTTTAATCAAACAGGGGGGTAAAAGTTTTAGCAAGTCCCTTTGTTTAATTTGTTGCGTAAATCTGGTCGTTTTTAATGTCGTTTAATTTTTACTGCATTGACTCTGGGGGCATTTTTTAAATGAAATCGTTTAAAGGATTGCTGAAAATGTCCAACAGAGTTTCCTTTTTTAAAAATCCTAAAAACTTCTTTAAAAATTGAATCAAAATTCTAGCTTTTTTATAACTGAAATAATCGCAGTTTTGTTTTAATTTTTTTAGACATTTTTCTTATAATTCGGAAAATGATTGTAATTTCCAGAATTCAATTTTCGTCTGAAAAATTCAGCTTGCATTTAAATATTTCAATGCAAGCTGACACTTTACACTGATACACGGGTTTGAGCTGGGATATCATTTGTTTTTTGCTTGAAGCCGTGCTTTTAAGAATTAAAAATTGATTTTGTAATGTCAACAAAAAAAGCCAAACACACAACAATTCAGGCTTTTTAAGGCCTGGACACCCTTTTGCTTTTTCCGCCAAAATTTTCCCAAATTTCTTTTTTTAAATTTAGAAAACGTTAGTGTAATAAGACTTACACCTTACTTCTGTATAAAAACAGTAATCTCCATATTCTTTTCGAGTCATCAAGGAATTGTTTAAATTTTGCCTGTGATTGACCCCTCGTGATTTTATAAAATTTACAGTCGAACCCCCCAAACTTTCTGCTTTTTAAAATTCAATTTTTTTAGAACGGGGCTTTTTGGGTGTATTATGCGTAAAAACTGCATGAGATCTTCGGCGTTTTTGTTTTTTTCTTGCAGATGTTTTTTCAGAAAAAGTAACTAGCCCAGAATTGACACCCAAACATCAAAGGGGCACCGTCACGCAACCCCCCCATAATTTTGAAAAAGTCCAAATTATTTTTTGAACACTCATCCAAAAATAAATTTAGTATTTCAATCCTCGGGTTTACTTTCAAGAACACATTCCTAAAAAACTCTTCTAAACTTCAAAATCTCGAGTAGTACCTCGTATGAATAGAAAGTTGGTGTGGAATAATTCAGTGGATTCGTCGAGTGCTAATGAAAAAAATCAAAGATTTTATTTTTTCATTTAAAAGTTCCCCAAAATTTCCTGCAAAGACATAATTCGTTTTGGATAGTCATACGATTTAGGGGAATTTTCTCAAACTTTTTTGCTGTTCTGGGCACATTTTCTTAGCGGCAATTTTTCTAGCATTCCCCTTTTTCAAAATAGCAGTAGTTTTAGCTGTTTCTGAATTTGAATGGGTTTTGTAAACTAGCTTGCTTTGACCAATTTAAACTCCCTTTTAAAGACAACATTTTTTTTCTTTCCTAATTTGCCGTAAACTTTTTTGGTTTTTTAA